AAAAGAATGATACTATATCATCTTGTAGACAACAAAGATCACAAAAATCATTCATCTTTCTCATTTATGTTTAATTAAAAATTATACTACTGGAAATCAACATTATAGATTAAGACATCTTAAAATCCTAAAACATATGTTTCTTTTATTATTCAAAGATGTCAAAAATCAAATTTTTCATGAGAAAATTGGTGAGATTGCTCAACATCATAGAGCATCACATATTTTAAGTAGATCATGATTACCTACACCTTTATTGTTAATCTACTTTGATATTTGGGACAATTTAACTCCTTATTATCTATGGAGCCAATGGATATTTTATATTTATTAATAATAGAACTTAAGTATCATGGGTATACTTTATCAAACAAAAATATTACGTCAATAATTATTTCACAATATTTATCATTATAATTAAAAATTAATTTCATATCAACATTAGAAGTAATAGGACAAATAATTCTTTAGATAAATTTAGATAAATTTCCTAAAATGATTTTAGAGAAAAACTATCCCAACCACAACATATTTGATTGATATAATGTTTTCTACCGTGATTGAATTCAAAAGCCTCCTAACTCAAAAATTCCCAATGAATAATTTCTTCATAAAAATGCCTTTTGAACTATTTAGTTGCCTACCATACACATTCATAAACAACAACAAAGCAAATCAGATCTTAGAAAATTTAAGGGTGTTTTCTAGGACAATGTGGTGTAAATACTCTCAACCAACCACAAGAAAGCTACTCACTTCAAAAGAAATCATATTTAAAAAAATCAGCTCATTAAAAAAAATATCTTCAAGTGAAAACCATCAAATAAAAGATAAATCTAATGAACGTGATATTTTCTCCTTTAATTGCGCAATTGCTAATACACATGAATGACTAACTTGTTTTTGCCATAATCTACACCACTATCATATTTATACAAGGATAACAAAACCATCTAAGGTCTCTAGCAAGTTCAAAACGCAAGACCCGTGTCAAATAACCTTCTTGTCTCTCTTTACAATGATCTTAATCAATATATTATCATTAAAAAAGAAGTCAGTAAATGTATTGAACATCTCTTATACCAAATAACCCGGTACATGTCATTTAACATTTCCCCTCCTACATTAATAGCCTTCCTTACAATGATACTAACATTACAATTTCGTAAATTTATTTAAGGAGTTAGGAAACATGAACCAGAAGAATGCGAGGGTAGGGGAGGTGAGGGGAGGGGAGGGGAGGGGGCTTTGATCTCTCTCCTCACACCCAATCATTACTTGTGGGTATAACAGTAAAAAATTGACTCGACACGCCAACTCGACCAAAACCTGCCTTGAAAAATCTAGGTTCGGGTTGACCGAAATAATTTTTGGGTTTGGTTTGGGTTTAGAATCCAAATCCGTTTAATATTTTGGGTCAAGTTCAATTTGACCCGCCAACTCAAAATTGAAATGAAATTACTTGAAATTGACCTGATTTTGACCAAAATAGTTATTATATCTTATGTTAAACTGGTTATATATGTCGAACTCAAGTTAGTGGGTTGAAGGCAGGTCATGTTCAGGTTGAATTGTTTGTTCCATTTAATATTTGGGTTGGGTTCGCGTCAAGTGATTTCAGGTCGAGTCAATCTTAAGTCATACCCGAACCAGATCAGTGAATCTGATTTAACACCCCTACTTATGGGCAATAATATTTTCATTATAGCTATATGAGTATTGGCTATGCTCTTGTGAGTGTTTTTGCATATTGCTTCGGGCTAGTGCCAACTTACCTACTAGTTGCATACATCACCTCGTTGCACACCCTAGCTATGCTTAGTGTCCCTTTAACATACTTAGATGCGGGCGTCAATTGATGTGGCAAAAGGCACATCCATGTACTGAATCGAACCAATGCGGGTTATTGGAAGGTCAATCAGCCCTCGTGTCCCCTCCTTTAAAGAGGGGGGCCCACTCCTATTTATCTAGCGTTATATATTTGCACTTTTTGACTTTAGGGTTTAGTTTTTCATGTGTTGTTTCGGAACACCCGTCAGCATCTCCTCTCCCTTCTCGAGTTGTATCCAAGGGTTTCGAGTGGTGCTCTGGTTGTATCTCGTTCCCGATGTGGTGTTTATCCTTCTGATAACCTTCCCCGTCCCTTTCCAACACCGCCTTCATTCCTCTCGTTGCTCCACTTGTGTTTTCGCCACCCCAAACCGCCTAAATCTTTGTTTCCATCACTCACAACCTCCCTTTTTTTGTTGTTGTTGCCCAAGTCAGCAAACCTTTGTTGCTCCTGCTGCTTCCACCCATGTTTCCCTCTTGTCACTGTTGGCCATGTGTTGTTCCTCCATTTCCTCACCTCCCCTTGTTTCACCCCACATTCCAGCCCACTAACCTACCCTTTACTACCTCTTCGGAGGTACGACCCCCAGCCAACACCACTTACACCCTAGATTCAACACTAGGGCTAGTCTTGTTTTGTTGTTTGTTTCGATTTCAAATTCTGACAATATTGTTGTAATTTGTATATTTGAATTCACCAATAATTTTTTTTTTCCATTCTTGTTTGAGTAAACAGCGATGACATTTGTATTATAGCTAACATAATCCTAGTTCCATCCTAGGTTTACCAAAATCCACCAACACCCCAAAATCATCCCTCCTTATTGATTATTCAAATCAAGCACTTCAAAAAAAATCCACCGCCTTAAATTAGCCCCATACACCCTCTTTCACCCCCTAAATTTAAACTTTATCCCGGCCACCGAGAAGACTAAGTGTCAGAAGTCATTCAGGAACTTACAATCGAAGAGGCGCGGTAGGAAATCTGTAGAATTCAGTAAAGTCTCGCTAAAATTGAGGAAAGGACCCATCAAGAGACCATCGTCGATCGTGATAGCAAGATTCAAAGAAGAGAGTGAGGAAAATCAGGATCCCTTATGTGAGGATGATTTCAGTGAAGAAGAGGATGGCAGATCACGACACTTTGGAATTCAGTATTAGAGGAGACCGACAGAGAGACATGTGAGTGAAGGTAGACTTGTTGGATTTTGAGGGGCGAATAAATCTGGATGATTTCATTGAGTGACCACAGACCATTGAGAGGATTTTTTAGTAAAAGAGATATTAATTAATAAGAAAGTGAAGCTTGCTTTCATAAAACTAAAGAAGAGTGTCTCTTTGTGGTGAAAGAATTTGAAGACAGAGAGAGAAACAAAGAGAAGGCAGGAGTAAGATCGCCACATGAGAGAAGATGAAGGAAAAGCAAAGGAAGTGCCTACCCACGCACTACAACCAAAACATGTTTTTGAAGCTCCGCCACCTACAGCAAAAAGTATTATCAGTGGAGTAGTTCACTACAGAGTTTGAGCAGCTTAAATTGAAATGTGTGCTGACAAGGTCAAAGGACACACAATAGCCAGATATTTGGGAGGCCTGAAGCCATCCATCAACAATCTTGTCCAGCTACCGTCTTATTGGTCATTGGGTGATGTTCAGAAATTGACACTGAAGGTCAAGAAACAACACAAGCAAAAGGACGCGCCTTCATTCAAATAGTTGCCCACATAAGGGGAGTCAGTAGGATTAAACCTGAAAAAAGTGTGAAAATTATACAGAAAGATGATAGGTCATATCAGAGTAGGAAAAAGCCCGAGCTGTGCATTACACCCAGCATGGTACACACAATGAAGTATTTCATATGTCATGGATTTGGACACATCGCTTCCAGTTGCTCTACTACTAGAGTTGTTTCCTTCACTGAGTAAGGAGCATTAGAATGTACAAAGGTACGAGAAACATAAAAGATAGTGATGAAGTGCAGTAGTACTAGCTTCCAACTAATGAGGACGAGATTCTTGTGTTTCGATGAGTCCTTTAGATTATGTCTTTCGAGAGAACCACAGTAGCTTCGCCACAATATTTTTCACACTCGTTGCTCTGTAAAAGGAAAGGTGTGCAGTTGTATCATCATAAAAGATAGTAGTAAGAATGTGGCATGCACAAAGATGGTGGATAAATTGAGTCTCACTACTCAGAGACATTCTCAACTATATTCTCTCTTGGTTGAATAATGAGAACAAGGTTAGTATTGTCAGAAGATACCTTGTAGAGGTTTTTTATTGTGGACCAGCTCCAAGATCAAATGTAGTGTGATGTTGTGCCCATGAAAGTCTGTCACATTCTATTGAAGAGACCAAGGCAGTTTAATTGCAAAACTCGGCATGATGTATTCAAAAACACCTACTCATTCACAAAAGACGGAAAGTGCATATTTTTCCTACCTTCCGAGGAGTTCAAGGTTACAGGTGCCCTTGCTAGTGGAGAAACGTCTGGGGAATCAGCTTTCTTCATAAACGCTCATCGCGTTTTCCTTTATTTTCAAATGAAAAATACCCGGTGGTAGTGATGCTAGTGAGGAACATGCTACTCGAACAGGAGTGAACTCAGAAGGTCCGTCATGGGGTTGTTCACGAGCACCTGAACTAGTTCTATTCTGGTCTTTCCCAACCCAATTGAGTGGACAGCCCTTTAGGGTTTCTATTTACATGCTATAATTAGAATTGGGTTCCTTGGTGGTTCAAAAGGCATCTCACCACAACTGTGATATATCATCATATATTGATTTCCAGAAAACAGGTTTAACAGACATTATAACATTATAGAAATGCCGTGTGTTGTTCAATAAATTAGATGACAAGCCTAAGAAAAAACAATTGACATAAATTAAAAGCATTAAAAAAAATTTATCATGTATTGTACTTTAATTTATTTAAAAAAAACTAAAAGCTAATAAAAAGAGCATATACTACAATGCATGTTAACTGGAAATGGTATTTATTTGAGGATTTGGAATGCATTTACAACCAAAAACATAAGAGAAAAAAGAAGGTTAAAAAATGAAATACTTCTGAAAGGAAAATGTCACATTAGATCGTAAAAATAAAGAAATTTTCTCCATTCCCCAAAAATAAAAATAAAATAAAATTCTGCAGTAGTTCTTTTTCAAAGACCTGCACAATTCGAAACAGAGCTGGCATAGGTTGAAGATCATAGTAAGGAGGGGCACATGTAAGCAACTCCAAAACAGTGCAACCAACACTCCAAATGTCTGATGCAGCACACACCCCAGACATTTCAATGACCTGCATTATAAATATTTGTGATCAAAGGGTAAGCAAAAAATATGCAATAATAATAAAATGAGAAAAATACCAAAATGGCCCCCTAACTTTTTACAGGGTGCTAAAATGGTCCTAGACCACATAAAAGGCCAATTCAGTTCTGACTACTTAACTAGAAATCAAAATGGTCAATCAGCCGCACTACTTTGGCCTCCATTTCAATAATCTGTGGACTGTTTCAATCCATATATGAATAATATGGGGTCTAAATTGGCCTTCTACAATTAGGATTGTTTTAGCCCATGTAAATAATCGAGGGACCATTTTGACTCTTTTCTCGCACTAAAAATGAATAGCATTAATGGAAGAATGAAGTTTTTGAAATAAAAATTAAAGATGCTATTTTTAAGCACAACAACAAATTTTTCATTAAAAAAAAAAATTGAAATCAAAATGAGGTCACTGCAATATATTTTACCACCAGGCGTCTAAGATCAGAGTAAACTAACAAAATGCCACAGTTCATAAAGAGCCTGTTAAGAGAATGAAAAAGCTTATATTAAAAGCATAACAGATAAACGAGCAAGGTACTCATAAACACCCCAAGGGTGCGTCAAACGCTGAATTTCTTGACTTAAAAAAGTATAAATTTTGGTTCAAGGCCATGATATGCAAAACTCCTGAACATGTATCGATTTAAAGACAAATCAAATCTGGGCTTTATAAAGATTAGGTCCAATTAATTTAAGAAATCGTTATTACAACCCTTGAATTTGACAAGTTTCATACAGACATTAATAAAAAATCACCGTCCTTTCCAAAAGGCTCCTTGATGCAAGTCTCCAGATCAGTGGATATTTCTCCATTTTTTCATATCTGGGTGATAACGGAGTTGACCCAAATATGAAAACTAGAAATAAATAACCACAACACTTGAACTGTAATCACAACCGGAAAAGCAAATGTTATCACTAAATTGTGAATGGTTACACGAAGACTCATCAAAAACTAGAAATAAATAACCACAACACTTGAACTGTCGAAAGACAAGAACGACGCGAAAGAAAACATCACACAACACAAAGACGGCTCCCTCTAGAGTGAGCAACTGGTCCAGCAGGAGAGGAAGGTAGCTGCGATGGTGCTGGAAGGAGGCTGGCAGCAAAGGCAGTGTGTAGGAGGTCTGCTGGCTAGTGCTTGGAAGCAGGACAGCATGTAGGCAACCAGTGTGCGACAGCTGGAAGAAGCATGACAGCTGCTGGACAAGGATTGGAAGGCCTAGGAGGCCATTCGAAGGCGGTTGAAGGTCTGGACGGAAACAGGACAGCTGTGGGAAGCGTCAACCATAGGGAAGGTGATGGTGTGGCTAGCGGCAGCAAGATAGCTGCTGGAAGCATCGAACAGCAGCAGGGAAGGTGTCAGCGTGGTGGCGGCAGCAGGACTGCTGCAGGAAGCGTCGAACAATAGTAGAGAATGAAGATGACAGAAAGGTTGAGTGGTTTGCAGTTGATGCAAGCGAATCAGAGGGGGTTGCGGAAGGATAAATGTCTCGTCATGATTGAGCTACAGCCGGAGCACCACCAGAGCCTTGGAGACGGTCACCACCTCGGACGAGTTACCACTAAAGTGACTTCTCGTAGTCGGTTACAGCCCCCGGAAGGAAAGAACATCTCAAAGGCAGCAACTGAAATTAGCAATTATTAAAAATCCTTCCTCCCAATCCTAGGCAAACAATATCAATAAATAGGGAGAAATAGATAAACTAGGCAAGTAGGAGAATAGACAATAAATAAAGGAGGGGGATAGACAAAGGAAGGAATTTGAAGTGAGGCTATTGTAGAAAGGGATGGATTTAAACAAGAAATCAAATAGGAAATAAAATCCAATAGGAAAGGGGACCACAATTACTATAGCAAATACAGTAACGCATCTACAGTGTTGTAGCTGGTGCAGTACCGCAGTCGGTAAGCTCCCGCGTCAGTCTTCCACATTTGGAGGAGCTTCGACTTCATCTGTAAAGGCTTTTAGGGCAGAAAAAATTTGGTAGGCTGGCTAGGGTAGGGGCGGATGCTAGCAATCAATAAGATAGAGCTAAGGGTGAGCTAGCATTGATACTAAATGATACCGGAGTTAATCCAAACCACAACAAAAAAAAATAAATATTATTAAAAAATTGCAAATGGTTACACGAAGACTCATCAAAATCTGGCAATAAATGACCACTACACTCAAACAATCGAAAAAAAATAACAACGTTGTGAAATAGCAACAACACACAAAGACGGCTCCCCCTAGGGCAGCCTCGTGGCGGCTAGAAGGCGTTGAAGGTCTGAATGTCAGCAGGACAGTTGTGGGAAGCGTCGAGCAACAGTAGGAAAGGTGTCGGCATGGCTAGCGGCAGCAGGACAGCTGTTGGAAGCATATGAACATCAGCAGAGAAAGTGTCTGTGTGGTTGGCAGAACAAAATAGATGCAGGAAGCGTCGAACAACTGTAGGAAATGAAGATGACAGCAATGTCCAGTGGTTTGCAGTTGTTACAAGCAGAGACTGAGGGGGTTGCGGAAGAATAAATGTCTAGTCGAGGTTGAGCTACAGCCGAATCACCACCAAGACTATCAGAGGTAGTCACCACCTTGGATGAGTTAAAGCTGGAGTACCTTCTCGTAATTCGGTACAACCCCCGGAGGGGAAAAACGTCTCAAAGGCAGCAACTGAAATCAACAATTTTCAAAAATGCTCCCTCCCAATCCTAAGCAAGCATCTATAAATAAGGGGAAAATATATAGACTACGCAAATAGGAGAATAGGCAATAAATAAAGGAGGGGTGAAAGGAAGAGGAGAAATTTGAAGTGATGCTATTGTACGAAAGGGTGGATTTAGGTGGTAGGGAATCAAATAAGAAAAGGAATTAAATCGAAAAAGGAATCACGGTTACTGCAGCAGCTACAGTAAGGCATCCGCTGTACTGGGGCAACTACAGTACGATAGTTGATAAGCTCTCGTGTCACTGGTACTTGAGACACTTCTTTGAGGCTCTTGACAACGGAGTGGTACAATGAACCTACAATTATCCTATTCCAGTGGGCTAAAATCCATCCGTTCATCAGCTACTTGTGAACATTCCTGCAGATTCAGTGGGTCTCCCTGGCATATTTGGAGAGATTTCTATGCGATTTAGCAGTTCTCACCCATATATTATGTGAGATTTCCATGCAAAAACCTTGTATCTTTTATGAGACTACCGATAACCCTTTTTAAATGTTTCTACTGTACATGGACATACAAGGAAACTTTGTGATCAATAAAAAGGACTTAAAGTTCGTCCAATAGATGATTAAGTTAATTCCACGTGAAATTCTTGATGAGGGTATTATTCCTTCTCTAAATCATATTTTTGGCTGGCATGTGATTGAATAAATTTAAGTTGAATATAATTTGGATTTTTACAAATGCATGATTTCTTAACAGATTGCATAGATTTCATGTTTTTAGTTCCTCAGCATTTGTTTTCTACTAGAAAACTAGTATCTATCATCCGGATTGGCTTTCTTCGTATCTCAATTTTCATTACAAATTACAAGAAATTGCTACAATTAAGTTGTGATTTATGAAGTCTCATGTGGATGTTGCAAGATTGCGCACACCTCAATGTAGATCTACATGAAAACTATACATACAAAGCTAACTTTCCCACATAAGATTTAGCATCAAATTTTAAGGTTGCATTTGGATTAATTTTTACACATAAGACATTTGGATCAATTAAAAACAAAAAAAGAAATACAATCTAATAAAACAAAATAATTTAAGTGCAGCTTTTACTAGTCTTAACATAATTATTATGATATTACAGATTATATTCTTGTACACAATGAGAGGCTTAATTTTAAGGTATTTTTAAACTTGCTAGATAATTTAGAAGAATTACTTGAAGGATACATGTTTCTGGTTCCCAAACAATTGAATTGGTTAAAACAAAATCAATAAGACATCTCACTTATTTTAGTGAAGGGTTGCTCACTAAAAAAATATATATGGGCAAATACAAAACATAAACTTAAAGAACAATATTTACTATTTTGTGATTATAAGGTTCAACTGCATGATTCATTTAGCAATTATAAACTGGGTGACCATAGCTTGCTTGAATATTTTCTTAGAATTACAGATCTATTAGCCAAACATTGTTTTCTAAAGATTACTTTATTATCATTTTATGTTTGGTGAGAAAGAAGTAGAAGAGAAGTGACGAGGAAGAAAAAAGAAATATTTCATACTCTGTGTTGACTAAAAACATGCTTTATATATATATATATAGTTTTAAAGAGGAGAAAAACAAAGAAGAAATCAGCATATCCTAACAAAAAGGGAAGTATAAAAAATACAACATTTTTTTTTTTGGGTATAGCAAACAGCTAAATAAAATAAATAAAAGACCTAAAAGTATTCCATTCGACAATTCAACTCAAGTTGGCTTTCAAGACAGCAGCATCCATTTAATATGTGTACTCCCATGCCATTACAGACCAACTATTGTCCATCTATCTACCTTGCCCGTTGAAACCAATTGAATGTCAATAGGTGGCTTGCTATCTAGAGAAATAAGTGCCTCCAAAAATCCATAATTTAACTATTCAGAAGGAAGTGTCATGAGGCTATCCTGCCACTAAAAAGATAACAAAAATGTCTAACAAAAAAAGCTTGTCAGTTATTTGAAATAGGAATCTAGCCAATACTCTGTTCAAGACGTCAACAGTCCGATTTACTCAAGGAATATTTGAAACACCTAAATCATGACTAGGAATTTTTTCCTAAACAAAATGTCAATCTTTCTCCACATGTTTGATCCTACCGTGAGGAAAAGATTAACGTGCTATGCTAATAGCAAACTTACTATCTTAAATTATGAAGGTTTTGATAATTACCTATATCCCTCATAGGAGTGGCTTGAGCCAAATTATTTCACTAATCCCACTAGCCAATGATGCAAGTTTAGCTTCAACATTACTCCCCATCGCA